AATTCCGGTGTGTTTCATTTTGTTCCTTTGCGTGTATATAAAAAATATGCAAAAAGGGATCACAATGAGGGAGAAGGAGTAAGGACTTCTGGGGTAGGAAAAGCAGTTATTCCTAAAAGAAGGGGCTCTGAGATACGGCGGACTGGAAGAAAACTGCGACTTCGAAAGGCGGATTGAGCGGGTAGAAGATTGCGTGCGAAATTCGGGAGCCGACAATTGCAAGATCCGCTGAAGTTCTCAGACTTTGGTGTTTATACGTGCATCGTTGAATTACATTAAAGTTGTATTTTTGGGTCTAGTATATTAAAATAAGAAATTGAGCTTTTTGCTTGAAGCATAGGCACAAATGAAATGATCAACACGCTCAGGCAATCGGTATGGGTATCTCTGGTTAGTAATGTTACTAGGATGCTTCCGTACGCCGAGCTATACATCAAATAAGATGATGAGAAAAACAAGTGCACTTTGATAAATGTTTGAATTGAGTGTATTTTTTTTTTATTTAGATTTCGAAACAAGACAGAATTGCTTGCGTGCGCTGAGGAGCCGTCAGGACTTGTTCCAGGAAGAGGGTGTCCTTAATATGATCCTTGACACTATCGATAAATTCTCACAAATGGAAGCACTGCCGGATTTTGCTGGTCTCCTCACTGAAGATACACAGGTTGCATATTTTGGCCCCTTGGCACTTCACTCAATTTGATGGGTTGAAATTTTCTATAATACTGGATCTATGTTGAAAAGTGTAATCACCCCAATTTACTTCTCGGACCATCGAGTTGAGGAAAGCCCAAGAGAACGGGGAAAGGGAAGAGATAATACCAGATAGCTCTTGCCACTCGTTGTTTGCGTTTGACAATAGTTATCAGTGTGACCAGCTCCGACTTCCTCGATTCCTAACCGAAAGTAAAATACGAAGGGAGTTTTGATTTTTTCAGTTAATTGAAGTCAGAAAAGGGAGGACATTTCTCAGATTTGCCCTTTTGTCCAAAATAACTCCTTGTCTGAACTATGCCCTTCATCTTTGATGAGCTGAATTTTGTGCCGAAATTTTCACCACGGGGTCAAATTGTTTCTTTTTTTTTCAGTGCCATTCCGAATTTTTTATATTTTCGAAGAGATAAGGTCTTTTCCTTATGAGGTCTTATTTTTACGTTAAATTAGGATTTCTTTTAAATTCAAAAATGCCACTTTTGAATTACCATCACGCAAACAGAAATCTTCCTTTCCTTCCTTTGTCCTCTCCGCTTTACCCCATTAATTGAGCTAAACTTTATCGTAAAATCATTACAGCTGATGTGGGAAGAAATCTCTACGTATCTTTATTTGTTAGTTGCCGCAATGATCAAGGGAAATCACTACAACTGTGCGCAGTTTGCATCGGCTCAACGACTGCAGTGGCTTTTTGGCCGCTTGTCAAATCCACAGTCAGCTGAAGGTTGTAGTTTTTTGAGATTCGAGAAGTGTCGCAAATGCGCTATGATTCTTCCGATCAGTTCAAATTCAAAAGCGTTGCAAATCTCAAGTTACTGGTGGTGGGACTCTCAAAACTGTGCTGTAGGCAGCAACAAAAAGTGTGCGGTAACGTGGAGCTGAACAATATGTTAGAAAATACGCTCTTGCAAAGGCAGTAATTGCTGAGAAATATGAAAATTAGTAAGGAATTAAATGAAATTTATGGGAACATAGGGTGTTTGTTTGTTCACTTAGCTCCAGTTAACTACAGATAAAATTTTATAAGATTTCGCATTGTTCAACAAAAATTAATTGAAGTTTCGATAATTTACAAGTATTACAGTGACCATTCGGGCTGATGTAGGTGTGTTACATTAATAGAAAGGTGTATTAACAAAATAAGAAGAATCGAAGAGAAAAGTTGGAATTAAGAATTACGAAATTAGTAAAATTAGTAAAATTATTTTAATAAAATTATTGTAATGTTAAAAACGCTGTCCATCTCCCATAGAAAAGTGATTTTTGCACCAGCATCTTTTTATAGATTCAAATTGTGCCTTTACATTTATGTTTGCTTGCAGGTATTCTTGATGTCTTGTACTGTGTACTGACCGAATCTCCGGAAGCACTGAACATGATCAATGAAGGCCATATTAAATCAGTGATATCACTTCTGGAAAAAGTCGGGCGTGATCCTAAAGTAATTCTATTCGTTCGTGATTTTTTTCAAAAAATGTTAGAAAATCGGAAAAATAGTTTTTGAATTCTGCAGCTTGGTAAAGACCTAGTGTCAGCAAAACAACAGAACAACCCCAAAGTTGCGGGAACGTAATTATCATGTAATTTAGGTATTA